TTTCTGAGGCATCTGATTTGCACTGAAGCTCTAGGAACTGAGGCTGGGGAGCTCTTGAGTTACGGGTGGGCGGAGGGAGGACAGCACTGGAATGTTTACTCACTAAGCCTTGTTTTGTTCTGTGGTGAAGAGGGAGCCCCCACCATCACCAGGGCTGACACAGCAGCTTGGCCACTCCCATCAGCCTCCCACTTCCTGGTTGTGAGGGTTTGTTCCGTGACCACGCCTCCCGTTCTCCAGCACCCTAAATTCCTGAGAAAAGCCAAACCTAAACGAGTAAGATGTTAACTGACGACTTTTTAAAATAAGCAACGAAACCCAGTATCTCTGGTGATGTGCCGCTAGTTCTGGGTCAGCTAACACAAATCAAACACGTTGCTAAAGCGGTTGAATGTGTAGAAAAGTACCCCAGGGAGTCAAGGTTAATTGGGATGTTCCAGCCAGAGGGGAGGAGAGGGGAAAGAAGGGGAGGGGGAAATGGTGATAAAGATCCCAGCAATGTGGTCTTCCTGCCCATTGCCCCCAAACGTGTGTCTTTATAAAAATCTTTGTGTCCCCAGATTTCCTAAATGGCCTTTATGTGGATAATACTTCCTCACCCCGCAGTTCTTGAAATGTACAGGATCTCCTGCTCTTCAGCGCTTGTCTGGGGGTTCTGGCTTTCAGGCGGTATGCAGATGGACTTGGGTGTGACAAGAGTTTTGGGCAGCATTCTTTAGACTTCCTTAACTATAAGGAAAGAAAGCTATGGGAAGGTGAGAGGGGAGAGGGTAAGTCTAGCTGTTTTTACTTCCCTGAGTTAGAAAGTGGTTCTAAGAACTTATTCAGTTCAGAGTATATCAAGTTTTTAATGTACCCAGGGCCAAATGTGAGGCAAAATGAATGCTTTTGAATGTACTTTGCAAACTAAAAAAAAAAGTATCAAACTTATGCGGTCATACAGTTGGTCTGGTTGAGAGCAGGGATCAACTTCTCAAACCCTTTTTTTCCCCCCCCAAAACACCAGCTGCATGGCTGCCTACTATCCACAGCCCTGCCTGAACTGATCTGCAGGGTTACATACCAGCAGGGTCTTCTAATGTTTCTGGGCTCATTCCCTTCACCTCCTTCCACCTCAAGGACTATCCCACTCCACTCTTCAATCAAGGCAGTCACTCCCCACTCACCCCTCCCCTTACCAGCCATCAGGAGGCCAGCCTACAGGCTCAGTTTCATGGGGAGCTTGCACACACACACACACACACACACACACACACACACACACACACACACACACACACTGCTAGGACTTCTCAGTTGCCTGTCATCAATACTGAGGTCCTGTAACCCAAATATGAGGCTGGGTTGGTGTAGCATGAGTAATTAAAAACAAAACAAAACACCCCCCCCCCCCAGAGACAGACATTTGGGCCAAAGCTGAAGATCAGAGAAGCAAAGTGGCCAAGCACTAGAGAAGTCTCACCTCTGCCAATGCTCAGACTCAAGGGGCGATCCTGTCCTCAGACTGCATCTCCAGACTGCACTGCTCTCCACCAAACCTCAGACTCACTCAGCTCCTGTCTTCTCCACTTTATATTCCTCCCTAGTGCTAGGATTGAAAGCGTGGGATCCCAAGTGTGAGGTCACCTTTGTGCCAGCTCTGATTTTCTTTTAGACTGGATTAATTTCATGCAACTGCATTTCATGCAGTGTGGCCTTGAACTAACAGAGATCTGTCTGCCTCTGTCTCCCAAGTGCTGGGATTAAAGGTGTGTGCCACCACTGCCTGGCCTCAGTGGTTGTGGCTAGCTTTGCATTCTGATCTTCAGGCAAGTTTTGTTAGATCATAAACAAAATATCACATTTCCCTTTTTTTGTATAAGTCTATAACTCATATAAGAAATATATATAATAAGTACAATAACTATATGTAATATATACAGGCAATAAGTACATCACATCAACACTGTCTAGTCCATTAGCATTTGACAAATTCAGAGAAAATACACCATTATCTATCCTATCTTGGTGAGTCTAAAAGTCTTGTACCTAATTCACTTTCTATTCTAACTTGCATTATCAAATTATCTTTTAATTTCTCTCAAACCATTTACAATTTACACATCTTTAGTGAGTTTCTTTCCTGAGTCTTATAAACAATGGAAACTATAACTATAGTATCTAATCTTCAACTCCTTTAGAAACCTGTGAAGGAAATAATATTCACTGAGTAAGCAGGAAGTGCAAACAATTAACTTCCAAAAAATGTGAGAAATGACAGAACCAGCTGGCTGCCTGGACATTCAATCATGCTTCCTCTGCAACTTTGGGCCATCCATCTTTGGCCTACAGGCTAGCATACCTAATAGACTTTTCTGTGAAGCAGGATTTTGAAGGACTATCCTATCTTGTCTTGGCAAGGTTTAGCAGTCAATTTGTTTTGTGTCCTGCTTATCCAATTTGCACAGCATATTGTCAGCAGTTGAGGCAAGGGCACTTTCTTGCCCAGTGGCTAACTTTTGCCACAAAGAAAATAAATTCCATGTGGTTCCTTTGATGCCCATCAAGTTCTCTGAAGTAGATTGGTGCTGCCAGGAGCAGACATGTCTCAGTGTCATTAAAAACAAAAACAAATAAAAAAAAAAAAAAGAGGAATCTATGTTGTTAAAACATCTTAAATGCCACATTCTGTAGATCTCTGAAGTACTTGAAGACAGCCTATCTATCTAAAATATAGCTGTTTGACCTTGTAAACATACCTAACATAACTACAAATTCATTTGTGATAGGTGACTAATTACTAACCTGCAGCTGGAATAGCTAAAGATAATTGCCTTAGTCCATCTTGTTGCTTTTAATGGAATGCCTGAGAAGGGTTGTTTTGTAAAGAAGGGTTTATTTGGCTTGTAGTTATGAAGGCTGGGGGACCCAGGCCATGGTATTGGCATCTGCTCAGCTTCTGGGGTATGTAAATATGTGTAGGTGCATGTGCTCATGTATATGTGTGGAGGCCAGAAGATAGTTCAGGTGTCCCCTACCTTTTGAGACAGTGAAGGCCTGGAGCTTGTCAGGTAGGCTAGGCTGGCTTGCCAGTGAGCTACCGCCATCCACCTGTCTCCACCTTCCCAGTGCTTGGAGCATAGGCATGTGCCACCATACCCAGCTCTCCTTGGTAAATGCCAACTCTTGCTGTGCATTTTAAGGATCTGTGTTTGGATCCCTGGTGCCTGAACAGAAGCTGGGCACAAGGGCTGGGGAGATGGTTCAGTGGGTTGAGGTACTTGCATTCTAGAAGAGGACCCAGTTCACTTTCCAGCACCCACATGACAGCTGACAAGCACCTGTAACTTCAATCACAGGGGACCCATCTGATGCTCTCTTCTAGCCTCCAGGGACACCAGACAAGCACATGGTACACATACATACATTTAGACAAAGCACTCATGCACATAAAAATCAAAAAAAAAAAAAAAAAAAAAAAAAAAAAAAAAAAAGCTAGGCAAGTGACATGTGGCTATAATCCCAGCACTGGGGAGACCAGAGCATCCTTGACTCTTACTGCCCATATAGTTTAGAGTTCCATGTTCTGTGACAGACCTGGCCTTAAAAAATCAACCGCATCTTTGGCCTGACTCACTCACTGTCACAGCCAAGGACCTCAAAATGGATAGTAGAATATAAGACTCCCCCCTACCCCCCACCCCATGTAGCCCAGGATAGCCTTAATTCACAATTCTCCCTCAGTCTCTCCTAGTATGGGATTACATGTGTGTACTACCACGCCTGGCTAGGACTCATTCATTTCAAACAAAAATATTTGCTTCCCCCAGGGCATGGCATCAGGTGAAGAGGGAAGAGATTGCAGCAGAGTCTGATTTCCTGTGCAGTAAATCCTTGGTGAACAATGGAAAGGGAAGCCATTTAGCCCATGTGGAGCTTGTCAAAAGAAATGGCGCGAACAGGGACCTCCACAGAAACAGTCAGCAGAAGCATTGAACAACCGGGCATGCATTTGTTTTGTATTATCTTTATTTAAAAAAGTGTAGGAAAAGAATAAGATGTTATCGCAAACGTCTCTACATTAAATAAATTATTTTCAGGTACTCGTTATAGATCCACGGAGGAGCCTGGTCCTCCAACCTGTACTGAAGTTACAGCCGATGGACCGTGGCTTGTCCCCATGGAAGAGTCAAACTTTTCCTTCCATACGCAGCCATAGGCCCAGCCAATGGGTGCAAAGGCTTCCTGGCATCAGCAGAGCCAAGGTAAAAAGGCAATGGTAAGAACCAACATATGAGACCGAAAGGCAGAAGTCAGTGGAGAGCTCCCGCCCCTCGTCCCGAACAGCATGGTGACTTCAAGTGAGGGAAGGAGCATCACACAGCTGCCCCTGGCCCTTCGTGGAGGGCGGTCAGCACCATGGGCCGCTGGGTAGGGGTTAGAGCAAAGCTTCAGAAAGCAAAGATGCACAAGCAGGACTCGGATATGATTACAAGGCGAACCTCCCTTTGTGGAGAGAGCTCAAGAGGCCCTGGAGTGCAGACCCCCAGGTGCATTGTCTCAGAGGCTACACGGGCCTGAGACACCTTTCCAAGGTCAACTCCCTGAACGCGATGAAGCACATTTATTTCTCCAAGGTTTACCAGAGACACTGAACTGTGTAGTATGCCAAACTATACTACCACGGCGCTCTCTCGAGATCATGGCAGAAGGGACTTTCCTTGTCTTCCTTCCTCTGTAAGCGATGGGGCATCCACTCTGCTTTTTATACAATTCAGTTTACACCCACAAGCACATAGCCTCAGAGTAGAGGCAACAGGGAAATACATACATACATACATACATACAAACATACATACATACATACATATTTATTTATTTTTTTGAAACAGGGTTACTCTGTGTAGACCAGGCTGTCCTGGAATTCACAGAGATCCACCCGCCTCTGCCTCCCGAGTGCTGGGATTAAAGGTGTGCTTATACCACCACTGCCTGGCTTATGTGCATATTTTTAAAGGATCAAATTATTCTCAAAATCTGTTTGAATGTCAAAGTGTTGCTGCAGCTGGGAGAGCCACACACCACACAGGGAAGCTCAGAGTAATTTCTCAAAGTAAGGGACAATAGGCTCTGTGGTAAATTCTGCACGGGACAGCTGAATGCAGCAAAGGGCTGGGAAGTCTCTCCCGAGTGAGAGATAACACACGTGCACATACTCTTCTGGCTGGGTAGGTCATCAGTCATCCCTACAGGAGCACGTTTACCTAGTGGTCAATGTAGAAACCGAAACACAGCCACCCAGACCACTTAGCATGAGGTCAAACCACAACACTAGACCAGAGGAGCTTTGTTTACATTTTAAAAGAGGGTCCTATGTGGACCAGGAGGGCCTCCAATTCTCTACACACTTGACCATGGCCTTGGAAATTCTGACCCTCCTGCCTCCCCCTCCCTAGTGCTGGGATTACAGCTGTGCGCCATCACACCTGGTTTCATGCAGTGCTGAGGACAGAACCCAGAGCTCTGCGCGTGTTAAGCAAGCATTCTACCAACCAAGCTATACCCCCAGCTCCACTTAAAACATGCAGTCCGCCGAATAAATACTATTACTACCAACAATATAAAAAGCACATTGTCATTCTCATCCAGAGGACTCCAGTGAGAGCAGAGACCCCCAAGAGGAGCTGCTGGGAATCCGCTAAGTCTTTGCTCATTATTGAGAATCCAGGGCTCACTGTAGTCCTGTCTGGGTGGACCATGCCTCTCTTCTGTCACTGTGGCTAGCCCCAACACAACCTGAGTTCAGGAAGACCTGAGCTGTTAGGATGCGTCCCTGTCAGAAGTCACGACTTACTCATCACGGGAAGGGGTCCACCAGGAAATCAGGATTTGGTGTCTCAGTGCAAAACTCACTTCTTCCTTCTAGATGATTGTTCTCCCGTATGACTTCTGTTCAGGACTTCAGCTTTGTGTGTCTCAGTGTCTGGCGCCAGGCAAAGGCTTTGGGTTGGGGCCAAATTATTCTTCTGTCACCACCGGCCCCTGGATGTTGAGTAAGGGGATGTCTGTCTCCCTCACACCAACCTCCCCCTTGTTGGGGTGTGAAAAAGTGTAAGGTTCACTCTCAGACTCAGGAAGGCTATTAGGGGCTGGCTCGTCTGCAGTGAACTTTGCAGTCGGGGTCCTGGAGAATATAGGGGGTGGGGACGGGGGGGAGTCCCCCATGGGCCCCTGGAAGGGCTGGTAGGTGTCCACCTCAGGCTGGATGAAGGAGCCACCAGGGTCCTGTAGCAGGTGCCCATATACCATGGTGTCATCAATGACTGCATACACGTGAGAGTCATTGTCCTTTCTTCTCTTCTGGAAATTCTGAGTCTGGGGTATCTGGGTATTGACATTGCCATTGTAGATACCCACAGCAGGGCCCTTGTTGACCTTCTTCCTGTTTGTAGAGAGTGACAACGGAATGTGTCAGATGAGCAGAGCACAGGAGTCCCTGGGGTTCTACCCTTCTCTGAAACCGAACCTGTCCTAGGGACTACTCAGAAGCTAATAGCTTTTGTCTCAGGCTCCCAGGGTGGAAATGGAGGGATCATAAATGGAAGAGGTGGTTTAAGTGAATTTGTTTTGACTCTGATAGACTTCAGGGAACCAAAATGGAGACGCCTTGTACTCCCCCCCCCTCTTCCCAGTAATAGGGATGCACAAGGGTTTCTAAACTACACCAGCTCAGCATGCCCACGCTGACCTTCCAGAACATTCAGTTCTACCCTGTACTGATGTTGTTGCGTCTCATGCAGAGTGAAGGTCATTAGCTAATTCCAGTTAATTTCCACGGCTCGGTACAAACTGGCTAATTTTCTGCTGGAGCTGAGGTCAGAACAGCTCATCATTAGTTGAGTGGCTCTGTCCCTGTCCCATCAACAGCAACCACCAGGGAAAAAATGTGAAAGTGCAGATAAAATCCAGGATTCGTCGAACCATTAACTCTGGATGTGTGGTATTTAGATGTGGATGCTGGCATGTCTACCCTGGGCACACAGCTTTGCCTTTAGTGAACAAGGCAGCCTGGACTTAGACAATAGCTGGCTGAAGGAGGTGGTCAGCCCAATTAGTAAAATGGGCTGCAGAATGCAAAGGCTGGCAGCTCACTATAATCCTAGATTGTGCTTTTGTGAGGCAAAAACCCATCTGGTGTTGATCAGCTCCCCAGACTCTTGTATGAGGCCTTCAACAGATGTCCCTCCTCATGTGCTCACAGTGCCTGGCTTTTCCCCTTGCCCCTGGTCTAACCCCAGGACATTGCACGGGTCTTAGTGCCAAGGAGACCCTCAGCAAATACCTAGAGCAAGAAATTCAGTGTCACTAATTCCCTTTGTCCCTGAACGCCCCCTCCCCAGCCACACACACACACACACACACACACACGCATGCATGTATGCACACACACACACACACACACACACACACACACACACACATCTATTGGGAACAGTTTGGAGAAGGAGACATGATAGCTTGACTCTATTAACCAAATCCCTTTTCCCCATGAGGCACCTGGGGCCTCTGTTAAAGGCATGTGTCCCAACTGAGTGGGAAATGCTATGTACCTCAGATAAGAAAGCATCCTTCTTTCCTATGAAGTAATGTGCATTTCATAGGAAAAGGCTCCTAAGATCAGGAGGAGCTCAGCATTTCACAGGAAAAAGGCTCCTAAGATCAGGAGGAGCTCGGCATTCCTCAACAGTTGGACACTGATGGCTGGATTTGGTGGCATGAATCTGTAATCCCAGTGCTGGGGAGGAGATGGGCAGGCTAACTGCTTGCTGAGCAGGCCTCAGGAGGGACCGAGTTTGAGCCCCAGGATTCAATGGTGGAAAGAGAGAACTAGTTGTCATATACATGGGTTGTGTCATGTGTCCATGAGCATGCACATACACACCCACATACTGCGCATACACACACACACACATACACACACACGATAATAAAATATAATAAAGATTATAAGAGCATTAAAACGTTTGATTTGAAGAATGACACCTGATGTTGGCCTTTGGCCTTCACAATATGGCTAGGTGTGTACACACACATGTGCCACACACATCTGCACAGCCACAACATTTTTTTCTTTTTCCTTGTTTGGTTTTTCAAGACAGGGTTTTTCTGTGTTGCTCTGGCTGTCCTAAAACTCACTCTGTAGATCAGGCTGGCCTCGAACTCACAGAGATCTGCCAGCCTCTGTCTCTCGAGTGCTGGGATTAAAGGTGTGCATGTGCCATGAGCCACCTGGCTAAATTTTTTTTTTTTTTTTCTAGAAGGTTCAAATCATGATAAAGTAAGTGGAAATTTCCTCTCTGATCTTCGTCAGACATAGGAGAATTGATGAAGTCTGATGTTAAAGTAGACCTTATTTACAACGTTATTTACCTTCTAAGCAATGGAAGCTGCTGTTCTGGGGGAAAGGACAAGAGGCAGCTAACCAGGCCCTGTTTCCTCTTAACTCTAGGGCTACATTTTAGCACTGGTCTTCAGTCCCCCAGATAAGTACAAAGCAGACAGCTTGTTTAAGAAACTACAGGAGAACAAGCCAGGGCAAAAGGCTTGCTTTCCTCCACGGAGCGGAGGGTAGTGGTCCCACTAAGATCACTGTTGCAATCATCAGCTTAATGAGCAAACACAAGGGACTTGTACTGAGACCAGGATGTCACTGTGTGTGTGTGTGTGTGTGTGTGTGTGTGTGTGTGTTTTAACTCCCAGGTATGGAGTTAAACCATACCTGGAAACCATAATTCACCCTTGGTAAGAATATTTAACATTGATCTTTTCAGGAAACTGGGAAGCAAAAAACCCCAACATCATTGATGTGAATAAACTGGGTATAAGATTACACATGCCTGTAATCTTAGTGCTCAAGGAGGTAGAAGAGGATCAGAAATTCAAGACCAGCCAGGGATAGAAGACCCTGTCTAAATCCATCCAACCACCTACCCATCCATCCATCATCCATCCATCATCTATCAGCCATCTATCCATCATCCTCCATCCATCAACCATCCATCCATCATCCACCATTTGTCACCCACTCATCCAACCACCCACCCACCCATTCTCTCTCCATCCACCATCCATCCGTCATCAAATCAGCCCAAGACAGCTAGAGAGATTCCACCTACTTCTTTTTCACAAAGCAGATGATGAGTCCTAGGGCAAACAGCAACAGGGCTCCGCCTCCTGCTGCACCAATGATGACAGCCAAATCTGTGAGCAGCGATAGGAAGGCACAGGAAGAGATAAAAAGGTTAGCATAAGGAAGAGTTTGATAAGTCGCCAACCCCCAGCTTCTTACCTTCTATAAACTGAAGGTGAATTGGCCCATTCTGAGCCTCATCTTTCTTTTTTGAGGGGAGTGTTCCAAGACAGGGTTTCTCTGTGTAACAGCCCTGGCTGCCCTGGAACTCCGTCTGTAGACCAGGCTAGCCCTACAGAGATTTGCCTGTCTCTGCTTCCTGAGTGCTAGGGTTACAGGCATGTGCCACCACACACAGCCTGGTCAATTCCCAATCCCCCTTAATACAGTGTCCCTTCCATACAGTTCCTCATGCTGTGATGACCCCAACCATAAAATTATCTCATTGCTACTTCATAACTATAATTTTGCTAGTTATGAATCATAATGTAAATATCTGATATGCAAGATATCTGATACGTGACCCCTGTGGGGGTTGCCACCCACGGTTGATAACCACTGGCTGAAGCCAATATAATTTGTATGTAGCACTTAGATACATGAAACAGGCGTGTGTGCGTGCGTGCGTGCGTGTGTGCGTGTGTGTGTGTGTGTGTGTGTGTGTGTGTGTGTGTGTGGTCGCCTACTATCCACCTATTGGCTACTCCTGGCTTCCACCAGGTATGTTCCTTGGCAACCAGGCTGTTTTAGAAAAGAAACAGAGGGGAGATCAGGGACTCAAATGTCAGGAGTGAAGGAAGGGTTCATTCCATAGAGTTGCCCTTTCCCGTACTGCACAATGGAAAAACAGCGCGGATCTGAGAAGGGGCTCCCTCCAGGCAGGGGTTTAGGACTCCTCCCTTGCCCGTCAGGAGACAAAGGCTGAGATTCAGCGGTCACAGAAATAAGCGGGAAGGAAAGCAGGAGAGGGAGAGAGCCCAGGTGGTCTCAGAGCGGGAGTTCTTAGTAGTGGCTTTTGGTGAGTGCATTCACTCTCTCTCCTGCATGCTCTCTTCCTCCTCCTCCTCCCTACTCCCCAAGGCCTCCTATTTCAGTCCTGGTTACTGAATCCCTATGATCCCTCTTCCTCCTTCACTCTACAGATGAAGAAGATCACAGGAGTGAAAACTGACGAAAAGGATCCAGGTGAAGCAGAAGAATGTGGGAGAAGGTGTGGTGGGCATGTTTCTTCTATGCTTCCCGTGGTGCCTTGTGCATTTCTCCACAGGGCCAGCTATGTGCTAGATGGTCAAGTAAGCTCAGTTGTAACAGATGATTTTGGCTGGGACTTTTGTGAATAACACTATATAGCCAAGATCAGCAAAGTCTTGTAATCAACCTACTGTCTGAAGATCAATGAGTGAATAAGCCTGACTAGCCCAGCTCAGAAAACTCTTGCTCAGTCAACATATGAACAATAATAGTAAATGCTATACGACAGGTGGCTGATGTACCAACAGCCAAACTCGATCTGTTTTTGTTTTGTTTTGACTTGCCTCCAAAACTTGCTCCCTGCCCCCTGAAATGCCATTTTCTTCCCTTCACCATCTCTGGAAGCCTCTGAAAAGTCCTTACCCACAGTCCTCGGGGTAAGAGTCACCCAGAAAAGCAGATCTAGCTGCTTGCCATTCGCAGGGCTGCAGTTGGAGATGTTAACCCAGAAGCTGTGGCGATGGAAGCTTGGCTTAGGCAGCACTTCCTCCTCTAGGCTGAAGATCTCCTCTGCCCGGGTCTGCTGTTCCTGGATGATCATGTATGCACGCCCTGACTGGCAGACCACACCAGAACGCTCTTTGAGGAAGGTCAGACAAGCCACTTGGTTGCTAGGCACACTGACATTCCAAGACACTGAGGAGAGGGCAGGTAGGCCCCGGTCCCAGTTGGGGGTCCTCAGGTAGACCTTGTTTTTTGTGTCCGGAGTCACCGTGAAAATGCCTTCCTCTGCAGGGAAGGAGAGAGTTTCAGACAGATGTTGTTGTTTCACTCAATAAAATGGAAAAGGGAATTGTGGGGCATGCTTAACAGTCTACCCCAGCACCGTCCAACAGATGTCACCCAACTTTTTGCCTTAAAAGGACATGCTCTATGTATGTTATGACTTCAGGAGGCAGCCATTACTCATGTGCATCTGTTGAGCACTTACTATGTGCCTGGCTTGACTGAGTCCCATAGTCAGCATCTGAACTTACCCCATGGCTGCATACTACAGGCTTAGTCATCAGCCTACAGCACTACTGAGAAGGAGAGGTGATAGAACCTTTAAGGGTAGTGTCAAGTAGAAGGAAGTTGAGGTCATGGAGTAAAACCCTTTTTTTTTTTTAAGTTTTCTAAAATTTATTTAACTTTATTTTATATGCATTGGTCTGAAGGTGTCAGATCCCCTGGAAATGGAGTTACAGACAGTTGTGAGCTGCCGTGTGGGTGCTGGGAATAGAACCTGGGTCCTCTTGAAGAGCAGCCAATACTCCTAACCACTGAGACATTTTTCCAGTCCCCGTGGTACAGAACCTTTAAGGAGTAGGGTCAAGAAGAAGGAAATTAGGCCACGGTGGTAAAACCTTTAAGTAGGGGAATCAAGTAGAAGGAAGTTAGGTCACTGGGAACATACCCTAGAAGGAGCTATTAGGAACCTGTCCTTCACTTTCTTTTTACTTTCTGATGGCCATGAGGTGAGCAGCCCCTCCCATTACACGTTCCTACTATAATGTACTGCTCCAACACAGACTCCAAAGCACCTGGACCTAATAAGGATGACCTTCAGTCTGAAACTGAGCTAAAATACACGCTTCCTGCATCTAAGTTCATCACCTCACAGCAATGGAAAGCTAGTACAACAGAGACTTATATGTTTTATTTATTTAACATTGATTTTGGTTTATGTAATCACATGTGGTTACTGTACTGCTCAGTGAAAGATGCATCTTTTTTTGTTTGTTTGTTTTTTGAGGCAGGGTTTCTCTGTAGCTTTGTAGCCTGTCCTGGAACTCACTCTGTAGACCAGACTGACCTGGAACTCACAGAGATCCGACTGCCTCTGCCTCCCAAGTGCTGGGATTAAAGGTGTATACATTTTTGTTAGACACCAGAACAGTTTCCCAACCATTCCCTTCCAGAAATGTTTCCAACAAGGCAATCCCCCTGTCCCACTCTGCTGTGGGAGTGGCATATATCTGTGTCTGTCTCAGAGAACAAAAACACTTTGGGAAGAAATCTAGAATGGCAAAGTTGAAAGAGCTTCCAACATGGCCACAGGTCCACTGTGTGCTCTGGGTGAAATAAGACCCCACATTATGCCCTGATGAGAATGACTGGTTTTCAAAGACTTCTTGAAGGGGATTCCCTGATAACCTTGGAGACGGCAGGCAGCCTGGGTTGACCTTACTCTATCATCACCAAAGATCCATTCCCACCACACCACTGAAAGGTCATCCTCAAATAAAAGTCTCATCCAATTTTAAAATGACCTCTAATTTAACATGACAATTCTTTCAGCAACACGCAATGTGACTGCGACTTCTGCAATCAGCTGCATACAGGTCACCCAAGACATCCATTTAGACCTCGTTCTCTACTTTGCAGTGCAGAAGAGCAGGACCCTTCCACTGCCATTTCTTCCCCAGCAAATCCCCCCTCTGTGCTCCCCATGGCATCCTCTTAATTATAAAGGCAGAACCATAACGACCCAGGGCTGGAAAATTTCCCAGTTTCCCTGTCAGCTTCAAAAAAAAAAAAAAAAAAAAAAAAAAAAAAAAAAGACCAGAACCATATTCTTTGTCTTCTTGCCTACTAGACATTGCAAACCCACTGTCAGCGACCTCTTTTGAACTTCTAAGCTCTGGAAGTTTCCATAGGAGTTTGACGAAAAAGTCATTATGACCCAATGTTCTGCAGCCTTCTGGCTTGAGGACCAACCTCTGTAACTATCCCTTCTTCCTAAATTGGCAACATTGTATGGTTTTAATCTGAAAAGTCCCCCCCATAGGGCATGTGTTTGAAAGCTTGTTTTCTTTGTTTGGAAAGTTGTAGATCCACAGGAAGTGGAAACTTGCTGGAGGACCTGGGTTACTGAGGTTTTATAGCCCCACTTCCTGTCCACGCTCTGCTTTTTTTTTTTTTTTTTTTAAGAGCAGACACAGGCTCTCGCTGCTATGTTTTCCTCACTATGATGGACTGGACTGATAAACTGAACCAAAATAACCCATCCTCACGCTGCTTTTCTTATGTAACAGAAAGTAACTAATACAGCACAAAGCAAGGTGCACTGGGTATCTAACAAGGATGGCTAAGAGGGTGTAGCGGTGGGTGAGCGAGGGACCACCTACCTTTGAAATATGGTATGAAGGACACTGTCAGGCCTTGCCTGGAGACCTCTTGCTGGAAGCTGGGGGCGTATGTTCGAAGTGTCACAGAGCTGTTTTGCTTCACCTGGATCTTCTCAATAGATCCTCCTGGACAGAAGGAGCCAAAGTATAGGTCCTGGCCGGGCGTGGTGCTGGCCATGAGGTAGCCGAAGCTGGTGTTGCAGGCCCTCTCACGTGTGTGCTGCTGTAGCTTCTGGCTTGGCACCAGCATAAGGCCGAGCCTGTCCTTAGGCAGCAGCAGCTTCCAGGAGAAGTCGTGCAGCTGTACAGGCAGCTGGAGGATGTCTTTGTGCACCTGCAGTTGGAAGGACTTCCTGTAGCAGTAGTAGTGGTCCAGGCAGCCTGGAAGAGAGATGCACACCACATGCAGGTGTAAGGTGGGGAGCGTGGAGTGTGCCCTCGTTGCCACACGGGCTGACCCAAGGCTGGAATCTGCGTTCCTCTCTACTTGTGACTCTTCACTAGCTTCCCTATCCCCTCTCCTCCTCTCCCTGTCTACTAACCTTGCAGCCAACCAAGCTCCTGTGAGTAGTCAGGACGGAAACACTCTCTTCTTGTTCCTATCTTCCCTTGTCTGGGATGCTAAGACACAAGTCCCTACCCCAACAAGTCCCCACACTTCTCTGTCATGTCAGAGCTGAGTGACATCACCCGGCCAGCTTGCATTGCGTGCTATCCTTTAGAATTGGTTGGTTTCATGCTACTCTAGCTCCTGTGACCCTCAGCTTTATGTCAGAGATCATGGTGTCTCAGCAGGAGGTGAATGAACTTTCTTTTGTATTCTTTGAGATAGGGTCTCTTTGTGTAGCCCTGGCTGTCCTGAAACTCTCTATGTAGACCAGGCTAGCCTCAAACTCACATCTGCCTGCCTTTGCTTCCCAAGGGCTGGGATAAAAGGTGTGTGCTGCTACATCTGATTCTTTTTTTTCAAGAAAGGGTCTCATAGAGCTAGGCCGGCTTGGAATTCTATGCAGTCAAAGATGACCTTCAACTTCTGATCTTCCTGCCTTCACTTCCCAAGCACTAAGATTAGGGGGTATGTGCATCGTCCATGCATTTCTGGGGATAACCGAGGGATTTGTGAATGCTAGGATATCACTGTACCAACTGGACTTCAGCTCCAAAATTGAGTATGAGTCTTGTTACCACAGAAGGAGCCAGTCTATTTTGTTTGTTTTGTAATATAGACTCTCATTGTTTTCCAGGCTGGGCTTGAGCTTGCATAGTCAAGGAACAGTTGGCTTATGTGGCATTAGGAATTAATGCCAGGGCCTAACACATGCTGTGCAAGCATTCCACCAACTGAATTACATCTTCATGCCCAGGAGGCTAAGTTCTTGACTGAAGAGGAGGCAGGGAGTAGGCAAGAGGAGGACTTCCCCAGGGAGAGGCTGGCAGGCTGGGCAGAGACAGGTAGGGACACCAGCCTGCTCTGACTTTCTGAGGGATGGAATATCGGCAGTCACGGGTCCTAACAAGGCTTGCCAACCCTTGCCGCCCCTCTTAGTGGTCATTTCAGATTATACTCTTTTCAACCTACCTACTAAGCTCCACTAAGAGAGGAAAGATGAGGCCCGGTGGGGTGGCACACGCCTTTAATTCCAGCACTCAGGAGGCAGAAGTAGTTCTGTGAGTTCCAGGACAGCCAGGGTTGTTACACAGAGAAATCCTGTCTCAAACTCCCTGCCCCCACAAAAGATAGGAAAGATGGCTCACTAGGTAAAGGCACATACCACCAAACCAGACAACCTAAGTTTGATCCCTGAAATCTACATGGCAGAAGGAGAAAACTTACTCTTGTAAATTGGTCTCTGACCTCCTGCACACACACACACACACACACACACACACACCATGAACACGGACATGGACACTAAATTTTTCTGGGCTTCTGAAAATATACTCAAGGTTTTCAGTAAAGACATACTTATGGTTTTCTCTGCATTCACCCACAGGCGTGTCAAGTCATCACACAGGAAGGAAATCTTGTGTTTGGAGCCAGCTGTCAGGGTGACATTGCTACTACAGGTCCGAGACTCTAGACACACGAAGCACCCAGGAACAAACCTGCGGCCATGTTTGACTGGCCGTGGCTCTATGGTGAGTGACATGGTTCGCTCTTGACTCAGGTCCACCACGTAGGTCTTACCTGAATTCACAAAGAGACAAGGTGTGAGGCATGGATAGGCAGCTACTATGTGAGGTGGTCAAAGTGACAAGTCACCTGTTAGGATGGGCTTATTCGGATGATGTACACACACACTCACACATGTACGTATGTGCACACACAGACAGACAGACACACACACACATGCATGTGCACACACACAGACACACGCATGTATATACACACACACACGCATGCATGTGCACACATACACAGATACACACACACTTCCTCTGCTCTTCTCTCTAACAGGCCCTCTCGGCTCTGAGCTTGCTCTACTGCTGTTAAAAGTATAAGATTCCAGGCTAGTTCCACACTCCTCTGAATGTTTTGGTTTTATTAGGATCATGATTAGAAAACTATGTTTGGTATGTTTCGCACGGAGTTAACAATGTAGCTAGTCCAAGGTAAGGGGCTACTCAGCCAAGTACAATACAGTTAATACTCCACTGTGATTGCTGCTGATGGCTCCCACTGTAGGGTAAAGACAAGAGGTCTCTGTCCACATTGAAAACAGATGAGCTGGGTCTAGAGAGATGGCTCAGCAATAAGAGCACTTGCTTTTCTTGTAGAACCTCTGAGTTCAGTTCCCAGCACCCACATCTGATGGTTCAAAACCTGGACACACACACACACCTTAAAAACAAAAAAGCAGATTGGTCTAGAACCCTGTATGCAGGACCATGCTTGCTTCTTACTGTGCTGAAGCTAAAGTGTATGCTCGGTGTCTTCCAGTAACCCTGTCTTCATGTCTAGCAACCTATTTCCTCAAACTTCCGATAGTTCAGAGTCCATGTGTCCTGGCTGCTATACATGCAGAACAGGCAGCTACCTCACCTAGGCAACACAGGAGGATGGAGGGTGTGGATTACTCACTGCTTTCATTCTGTGGACGTTGGACCAGGACCTGAAACTGGAGCCGAAGGATCCCTGGGCTCTGGGCATCCTGGTCGCAGCCTTGCAGGGAGAGGTTGAAGTTTCCAGCCATGTTCCCTGGCTGCTTGTCCTCCAACCTGAACACTTCTGGGTTGGTGGTGGATCCCGGGATGTAGTATTCAACCCGCTCCTCCTTTCTCTCACAGTTGGAGACATTGAAGTTGAGGAAGGAGACGCTGGCCCGTAGGTGTTCAGGGACAACAAACTGCCAGGTCATGAGCTCATCCTCAGGGAAGCCTCCTGGGTAGTTCGCAGACATCAGAGTTGCTGAGCCTTCACCCTCAAACACTGACTCGATGATGCACAGGCCTGTTGAGATAGATCCAAAACAGAAAGAAAGGAGATGCTGACACCTGACCTCGCTGTCCATGGCTGGGAACAGTGTTACCCGGGAAAATGTCCTCAAGAGCAGGGCTGCACATGATATTTACACTGAGGGTGGGGATTAGGAACAAAGACCCATTAGCAGTGTATGAGCAAATGTTTAATAAATGACTGGGTTAGGGAAAAGCCAATTTGTTCAGTGTAGCCATCTCCTTGGACTTAACTTAGTCCCTAGGGCTTAGTTACAGCTCCCAACTGATCTACATGTGGAGCTGGGTAGAATTCTGACATCGCACACACACACACACACACACACACACACACACGCACGCACGCACGCACGCACATGTGCGTGTATCATTGAGACATTAGGCCACAGCAGAATCACAAGAAGTGATTACCTTTGGGTATTTTTTACCTTTGTGTCTAAGACAGTTCACTTAGCTAAAGTTTCTATATTATTATTATTATTATTTTCGTAATGTTGAGCTGCTGAACACTGGCTCCTTCAAGATCTACTTGACTCTCATGAAGCAGCATGAGTGAGCAGAGGAGCATGCCAGTGATACACTGGCACACTTGGAGAAAACAGAAGTCAAGGTGACAAACAGAGATGTGCTCCATGATAGTGCAACTGTAGAATGAAGTCCACGTCATCTGTGAAACAAACAGCATGTGCAAAATGGACAGGGAAGCTGGGTATGGCAGGGTTCACTTGTAATACCAGCACCGGGGAAATGGGGGGAAGATCAGGAGTTCAAGGCCAGCCTTGAACTTGTAGTCAGCCTGGGCTAGATGAGACTTAAAAAATAAATAGCTTGGCTGGAGAGATGGCTCAGAGGTTAAGAGCACTGGCTGTTCTTCCAGAGGACCTGAGTTCAATTCCCAGGAACCACATGGAGGCCCACAACCATCTATAGTGGGATCTGATGCCTTCTTCTGGCATAGAGGTATAAATACATACAGACAGAGCACTAATATACATAAAAATGAATAAGTAAATCTTAAAAAAAAAATAGCTGCCAGGCAGTGGTGATACACACTTTTAATCCCAGCACTTGGGAGGCAGAAATAGGCAGATCTCATTGAGTTCCAAGCCCGCCTGGTCTACAGATTGAGTTCCTGAACAGCCAAAGCTACACAGAGAAACCCTGTTCCAAATCAATAAATAATAAATAAATAGCTGACATCGCGACTGGAACACCCTGGAACGTCCAGTATATGCCCATCTCATCATCAGGGATAGGAGGAGCATACTCACGTTTTATAGATGAACGGTTTGCGATACTGAAGCCTGAGATGTTCCTGGGTACGTTCCATGGCAGGTGTAAGGCCATTTTCACACCCTCTTGCATCTTGATCCGGGACACTGTGCCATTACTGCAGAAGGTCCCAATCTTGACCTCAGTGGCATCAATACGGCCACTGATGGAGTGAGTCACCCCATCTGCACAGCGTTCACCTGGGCTAATCTGCCTCAGGCGAGGGGTTGAGAACTGCAGCTCAAGGCCAATGCTCTTATGAGCTCTGACGTCCCAGATGAAAGTTCTGTTGAGGGTGGGCAGCTCTGATGTGGATGGCTGAAGATGAACCTCCCCAAAAGGACATGGGCCGGACATGCAGTCTGTAACACAGACACAAAAACAATTTTGATCACAGATACAAGACCACATGCTGCTCCTTCTCAGCCCCTAAAGTAGGCTCTTTAGGATTGTGCTCAGGTGGTTTTACCACCATGAATTTCTCACTGGTGGACTTCTGCTGGCCAGTGCCTCATATTGTGGATCAGAGATGTCCTGGCCCCACTACTCCAGGTGGCATAACCTGGAGCTGATATTGCATCACTTCTTCGACCCTGGAACATTCTACATGTTTCACCCAGGAGAGGCTGGACTTCAGCAAAAACAATTACCCATGCTCAGTTTCCTCCTGATCTGGGCTGCTTCTGGGACACTTCATTGTGGTGGGTAATCTAGACTGTCTACTTGATAGGATTTGGACTCACCATGAAAACAAATTTCTGAGCATATCTGTGAAAAATTTTCTAGATTAAAGTGGGAAGACCTACCTCGAATGTGGGCAGTACCATCACCCGAGTCCTGGACTGAACAAAAAGAAAGTGAGCTGAGCACCGGTGTTCATCTCTCTCTGCTTCTTAACTAGAGATAAATGTGACCAGCCACCTGTCTCTGCTTCTTGACTAGAGATACAGTGTGACCAGCCACCTTTCTCTGCTTCTTGACTAGAGATACACAGATATCAGCCACCTCTCCTCTGTCTGCTTCTTGACTAGAGATACAATGTAACCAGGACCAGCCACCTCTGTCTGCTTCTTGACTAGAGATACAATGTAACCAGCTGCCTCTGTCTGCTTCTTGACTAAAGATACAATGTAACCAGGACAAGCCACCTGTCTGCTTCTTGACTAGAGATACAATGTAATCAGCCACCTCTGCTTCTTAACTAGAGATACAATGTAATCAGCCACCTCTGTCTGCTTCTTAACTAGAGATACAATGTAATCAGCCACCTCTGTCTGCTTCTTAACTAGAGATACAATGTAACCCACTACCTCTGTCTGCTTCTTGACTAGAGATACAATGTAATCAGGACCAGCCACCTCTGTCTCTTCTTGACTAGAGATACAATGTAACCAGCCACCTCCATCTGCTTCTTGACTAGAGATACAATGTAACCAGGACCAGCCACCTCCGTCTGCTTCTTGACTAGAGATACAATCCCACCGGCCACCTCCTGCTCCTGCAAGTCTTCTCCACTATGACAGACAGGCTCTCTTGGAACTCTGACCCCAAATAAACCCTTCCTTCCTTAAGTCACTTTTGCAGGGTATTTTGTCACAATGAGATGACACACAAACTCATCTTTGGACTGAAGACTCCTAACAACTGTTTCCCAGGCATAGTGCCTGGTATGTTGTCTCCAGCTGGCCTTCTAAAGAGCTACAGGGAGCCTGCACCTTGGGACAACTTCCTCTATTCGGATATTAACTTCATGGTTTTAAGGGCACTCTGCCAGGCTCCCCCTTTTAAGCTTCCTTTTCCTTCTACTTCTCATTAACACACTGGGCATATTCAGCACAGTTGCTGATCCCAAGGCACAGTGAGCTTCCTGCACGGCGGCTCATTTAGAACGGCAGAGGCATCATCTTAAAGCTAATAACTAATTACATCCTTTGATACACTGTGTTTCCTAAGCCTTCTAAAACAACATGATTGTCACTATGGAGGAGTATTTATGAAAGACTAAAATAATATACGTGAATTTGCAACGGCCTTTGGTCTATTAACAAGTGTGTGGGTCCTACTTGTGCTCCACTTGGGTGTTTGAAAGTGCTGTTGATGGGGTTGGGGAAAGTGCTTGTAATGTGAGCAATGACCTGAGTTCAAATCCTCAATACCCTCTGTAAAGCTGGGCATGGCAGTGCATTGAGGGCAGGGGGACAAGTGGACCCAAGCTTTTAAAAGCTCAGTGAGAGTCCCTGCTTCAAGGCAATATGAGCAATGGAGGAAGACACAGTGTACTGCTCTGGCCTCGGCATGTGCATGTGTGGGTCTGTGTACCTGCACATTCATGTGTATATACCTCTTACCCAGACACAAAAGCTGGGTGGGACAATGCATGCCTGTAGTCATAGAGCTGAGAGGCACAGACAGGAAGATCTTGGGGTCTTAGTGGACAGCCAGCGTAGCTAATTGGTGAGTTCCAGGTTCATTGAGAGATCCTGTCAAAAAATACAGTGGAGTGCAGTAGAGGAAGGCACCGAACATCACTCTCTCTAGCTTTCACGTGCATGGACATGGATATGCCTGTACACACACACACACACACACACACACACACACACACACAAAACCAAACAAACAAACAAACAAACAAAAAAAAAAAAACACACCACCACCACCAAAAACCAAACCAAACCAAAACAAAAACCTCCAAGTAGAATTAGGAGAACTCAGGAGCAGTCTAAGACCTCTGAGATCACCCATGTCAAACCTCTCATTACTGCAAAGCAGCCGTAGAGTGACTTGTATATGGCCACTAGCAGATGCAGCTGACTCAGCACTGAAGTTGGGCTATCTGTGGTCAACCTGCATTGGTGTCTGGGCACTGCACAGCCAAACCAATAAAATAGGATCAGATAAAACGATGATTAATGTAGCTAAAATTAGAGTGTGTGTCGATAAAGATCACAGCTATCTTAGGAGCTCATAGAAACTTCACTATGTGCATGGAACAGCTCTTAGCTTCCCACTTATGTTTGTGTGCATGTATGTGCAAGTGTGTGTGTTTCTGGGCATATAGAAGTTGGAGAACAACATACAGGAATTAGTTCTCTCCTTCACCATGTGGGTTCCAGGGATCAAACTCAGGTCATCAGGGTTGGCCCCAAGTGTCATTCCCCCCCTCAGCCATCTTGCACCCCCTCTCCCCAGTCATTTCCCACAGTGCCAAGGCAGCAGCTAATTCTTTCCACTGTGGGATCCTAGTCCCTATCAAGGCACAGCTCCAAGACTTACCCAGAGCCTGGACTACTCAACAGTTTCTGGTTGACTCTATATCAAGAACTCAGTCAAGAGGCCCAGTCTCTAGCCTCAGCTCTGGGAGAGTGGCACATGAATGTGACTGTCCTTTTTACCAAAAGCCTTAGCCATAGAGATGGAAGAGGCCTGGCTATAAATCTCCTTCATTCTGCCCAGTGCAAAAATTCAAGCAAGTCAAACACTTCCTCTCCAGAGGGGGACATGCCACCCAGAAGTGAGTCATAGCTCATTTTTCCCAGCAGAACTCTACCTTCATAAATTTTCATGGAACTGCTGTAGAATGAGAACTAAGATGTCAAACTCCACTAAAGTTTCCAGATGTTTGTTGGGAAAGGAAACAAGGAGCAGGCACACCCCTGGCCTATATCTATTATTTTAGAATTGACACTTTCTTATCACCTTGACAAATTGGAAGCATGAATTTTTTTTAATTATTATTTTATTTTTTAGAAGCATGCATTTTTCACTACCCACCAGATGGTTTGGGCATCCTAGTACTAAAGGGCTGAATGTACTCAAATGCTTTACTTGTGAGATGGCTCCTTTAGACCTTTTTCAAAATTAAATTATTTGGTTATAAAGTAACACATGCTTTTAAAATGATGGCAAATGAAAAGGGCAGTAGAGATGAACAGAAAGGAAGGCCCAGGGTGCTGTACTTAGCTCTGTAACATTCTAATTCTTTGTCTTCTATTCTGCTATGGCTTGGGTGTTTGTGTACTCTCTGGGATCCACAGGTAAAAACCCAGTTCCCCGAGTGCCAACATTAAGAGATGGCACCAGTAGGAGGTAATTAAGTCACGAGGTGGATGGCAATAGGGCCTTTACGAAAAGGCTAAAGTGGAAGGGATACCACCTCTTGTGCCTTTGCCTTGGACTTGCCAGTCTCTAAATTTGTGAGAAAAAATGCACTTCTCATCTTTATAAATACCCAGCTTCAGGTGTTGTATTATAGCAGCAAAAATGTCCATGGTGAGCCCCTTTCTTTTTTACACCTTCCAAGTCCATGGATCAGAGCCTCAGAGACCTACCGACCTGAGGCTTGTGGGTCTCTCCTGTGCGCCGTGAAGAGACTGTGTGGCTAAGAGGTTAAGAACAAATACCAAAGTTGGTGTCATGACGTACACCTTTACTCCCAACATTTGGGAGGCAAAGGCAGGTGGATCTCTGGGACTTCCAGGCTAGCCTGGTCTACAGAGTGAACTTCAGGACAGCTAAGGATATGTAGAGAGATACCCTTTCTCAAAAAACAAAACAAACAAACAAACAAAAAAACAGGAAGAAGAAAACACTACAGCCAGGGTCTCTTGCTCCTGTCCTACTCTGCTCCTCATGAGCGGTGCTGGCTTAGACCAGCTCCTCTCTGGTCTGTCTGGGTTCTCTTGGAGATTAACCATGAGCCCGCAGGAAGCACATGAGCCTGAATGGCCATGTAGTAAGAGTCAGGTTGGACAGCTGAAACTTTAGAGTGGACCTCTCTCCAGCACCAGAGCCTGGCGCAACCTGTGACAGAGCAGCAGGGGTAGGGACCTGGGCGGCAGCTCACGAGGGCCAACTCACCGATATTCTTCTCAATCTCCAAGACAAAGTGCTTCTCAGGATTGATGCAGCTGAAGGTGAAAGACTTTCTTTCTCCGGGTTTGACAAGCAACTCGGTGATATGCTGTCTAGACACGATGATGTGGCAGGGTTTCACAGGCAGGGCTGGGCTCGCCAGCCTGATGCGCACTGTAATGCCACTTCCGTGGGGCAGAGAAATCTCCGACGCTTCTGGAGGAAGCAAGAACGACATAAGGCCTGGGAAGGGGACAGTATGAAGTGACAGGCTGACTTTCCCAATAGCAAAGATCCTGGACCTGCTGTCTAGGTAAAAACACCACCTCTTGTTTGGGCTGTGAACTTTAATTAAAACAAAACAAGATGCCACACAGCTGATCTCCTGGGTGGTATTTCCAAGATCCCTATACGTGCAGCACTAATGACGATCAGAGACATTGTCTTGTCTCGTTTTCTTTGTGATTGTGACTGTGGAGGCAGCAGGGTGGAGTGGGGGAGCACTCCATAGATGTCATCTGTCTGCAGACACACTTGTATGCAAAGAGCTGCAGCAGCTGCTTCTTGCCACAGATGCTTTACAGGCCAAGAGCATACACTTGTACACAGGTGACAGGACATTCACTAAAATCAGAGGTAAAACACACTAGCCTAGCCTAGTGGTGCAGGCTCATCATTTCAGCTCCTTAGCAAGCTGAGGCAGGAGGATCAATGTAGCCAGCTAATTTATGCTTTTGTTGTCATGCCTTCTCTACCGTGGGTTACATATCTCTCTTCCAACTGTAGTCTCAGAGAAACTCTTCAAGATACTGCACGTTGGGTATTTGGTCAACACAATGAGAAAAGTAACTAATAGAGCCCCATTAACATACAGCAGCTTTCTCTGGCCAACACACAGCGCTCCTCCTGCCTCACCCAGCTGTCCTGGGCTCTCTCTGTCCCTCTGGCTGCAGTCTCTGGCCTGAGGGCACTCTGCCATCTGCCCACTACCAGCAGGCAGGCACCCACCGGACAGCAGAACTCGTCATCTTGTTCAGCTACTGCTCAGGACCCAGCTGGCACCAGGTGCCCCCAGGACATGTAAAACTTCAAGCCCTCAAATAAGTCTATATATAGGTCCATTCCCCATGGTACTGTTGTTTCTTGCATTTAATTGCTCACAAATGTATGACCACTCCCTTACTTCAGTGTGGGCCAATAAATCTTCCCTGGTGTAAACAGGAACACGGACACACACACACACACACACACACACACACACACACACACAGAGAGAGAGAGAGAGAGAGAGAGAGAGAGAGAGAGAGAGAGAGAGAGAATGTTTCTGTTTTCTGAGGCAGAAATATGTTTTCTCAAACACTTTGTGACATTTGAACCTCCTAAGACAGACTGAAAAGTCCAAGGAACTCTTTGTGACGTCAGACCAGGATGAGATCCACATTCAGAATTGTGGTGGTCGGTTTTATGTCTGAGCTGTGTTATAACCCTTGTGTTGTTTCTGTAATTGTAAACATGTCTTCCAGACTGACTATAAAAGCCCTGCAGGGTATCTTCTCTCTAGGCTTGGTCCATCCTTCGCAGCCTCCAGCCCTGGGTAACCAAGTCAAGCTAATTCAACATCAAGGGCAATCAGGTTGTGATGCTATCAATTCCTTCATTCTTACTTCTGATTTTCATCTCTTAGCCAAACCATTAATTGAAAGTAATTGTCATTTTAACAATGTATCTTTTGTATGTTTGTTTTGTTTTACTTTTTGTTTTTCCAAGACAGGGTGTCTCTGTGTAGCCCTGGCTGCCTCTGCCTCCGGGGTGCTGGGATTAAAGGTGTTGTGCCTGCCAATTAGTATCATTGTAATTGTTAGATACAAGGCAGCTAGATCAACAGTTGTAGAGCTGGAGTAGTGGAGATGGAGGGTACCAGGAGGCCCAGGAGACTTGGAAGGATGCAGAAACTGCTGAAGTCCTTAACTATGATGGGGATGGCCTGTGTTGTACAGATGTCATTATCTATTAGTCTGTACTCCAGATGTGATGGCATTTTATGGTATAGCTTAATACATAAAAAAAAAAAAAAAAGGAGTTGAAACGTTATACCTTAATAGATTAAAAAAATGAGTTCAAACATACTTAATACATAAAAATATGTGTTCATTAAAAGTCACAAATATATCTAGAATGCAGTTTAATGTTTTTGTGGGGTGTACCTCTCAATGTGTACGTGTAAACATTTCACATCTCTTTAAATGAGATTCAGAAAACCAAGGCCGAGTGCACGGAAACCTCACTTTCAGGTAGCTCCTGTTTGCAAGCAGGCCACGACCCAAAGTAATTTTGGCAGTTACCATCTATTCTGTCATAAACAGCAGCTGAAGAAAAACACGTGCTGTCGTTTAGAAATTCAGGCTCTTTAGAATCTTAGAAATCAGATATTTATTCAACAACCATTTTTTGGGTTTGTGATATATTCCAAAGAGCACACTTGGTGCAAATCACGTACTGAGAAGTCAGACATGGCAGCATATGTCTATAATCCCAGCACTGGGGAGGCAGAGGCAGGCTGATCTCTGTGAGTTCAAGACCAGCCTGGTCTATATAGCAAGTTCAGGCCAACCAAGACTATTCATCCAGACCTTGCTCTAAAGATAATTAATTAGTTAATTAACGGGAATATTCAGAGTCCTTACCCCCAGGGAGCTAATAGCAATTTGTCAATTTTTAAAAAACAACATTCCCAGACCCGGTGAGCCCTATATAAAATCTGTTAATCTGTATTGGAAGCACTTTCTTAAAAAAATGATTTCTCTTTATGAGTAAGAGTGTTTTGTCTGTATGTATGCCTGTGCATTATGTGTATGCCAGCAGAAGCCAGAAACTGCATCAGATTCCCTCTGGACCTGAAGTTAGAGGCAACTGAGAGTTGCCCTGTGGGTACTAGGAATTGAACCTGGGCCCTCTAAAGAACAACCAGGGCTCTTAACTACTGAGCCATCGCTCCTGCCCCCGGAAGTTGGTTTTTGATTTTTAACACTTTGGGATTCCCTTTTAGTTGTTTATTTATTTTTCCAGGTGAAGAGCTGACTACTCCCATCTAACTAGTGAGCACTCAGTGGCTTCTCCACAGAGCATAGTATGTCCACTCTGGACATACTCTCTGGTTTGGTTCTACACAACCCAGATTTTTCACATGTATTCATTATGATCTGACTCTGCATTGTACTGGCTGGCCATTGTGTCTTTGTTACAATTTGAATATGAAATGTTCCTAAAGGTACATGTGATTTGGTCCCTGAAGGATACTATTTTGGAAGTTTTTTTTTTTTTTTTTTTTTTAGCAACTTTAGGAAGTAGGATCTAGCTGGAGGAAGTGGGAACATCTTGTCCCTGGCCCCTTCCTGTCTCCACATGCTTCTTGTCCACCATGGAGTGAAGAAGCCCTCAACCACATCCCCCTGCTGCTGTGATGGTCTGCCCAAATACCTATGGCCAAGCAGCCATGGCCTGACCCTCTGGGACTGTGAGTCATGGCAAAACTTTATTCACTCAAATTGTCTTGTCAGGAGTTTTAGCAGCGAGAAAGATAATATGTTATCTTTCAGTGACCCAGATCATTAGATTCTAGTGAGCCTACCAAGCTAGGCAACCAATAATACACTATCCTTCAGTGACCCAGATCGTTGGACCCTACTAAGCTCAGTTTTCCAAAGGGAATTCTGAGTTAAAGACATGTTCAGCATGGCCATTTCCTGCCCACACTTGCAGCCGAAGGAGGGAGTTCAATTCACAGGCTGCCCTCCAGGGTCATAAGCAAGGAGCCTCCATTCACAGGGCCGTCATGTGCATCTGCCCCCTCATTCTGAATGATATATATGTAAGACAGCAGGAAGGACAGAGAGGGAACGAGGAGGTAAAGATTACACCTGGGGCTCCCTATGCCCACGTCAATGCTCTAGAGGCCATTACTTCACCGTGGTAAGTGAGGGATCACGGGAAGAGTGCTGTTCGCATAAAATACACCAGAAGCTCATTTGATCACAGATACTTGGAATTTGAGAACATTTTGTTTACATGGCTTTTCCTTGTACCCACTCAACCATTTATCATACCTTGAAATTAGAAAAAAAAAAAAAAAAAAAACACAAACCAACTCTTGGAAATGAAACCTCAGCCTTTCTCACCCACTCTGTTGGGCCCAGCATACCAGATCCCTGATGAAAGCTCTGCAATTTGGGGGAGAAGAAAGAAATCTTTCTGCATTTCTTTCATCTCTGCAAGAGTTTTATATGTCATTGGTGGAAAGTTCGGAAGGTCTGTGACCCTAGAAAACACTCCCAATACTGGTGTGATTCTGAGATCTGGGCTGTCCAGATCTCAAAATCACAAGTCAGCCTTGTTGGAAGTAGGTGTGGGGCCCCGGGGAAGTTTCTGAAGCCCCAGTTCAGCTCCTGAGTCACAGCTCTCTAGCTCCCTGCCTTCCTAATTCTCCTTATTAGGACATTTTCGCTCATCCCTCCTTGCCTGTGCCTCTCAGGTGGGAATTTCCAGTGTTTCTAATCATCGTTCATCATTCACATATCACAGGATACCTCACAACTATCCCTTGTTAGTTAATCCTTCCTCCACTGTCCTGCTTCATTCCAATACTCTATAACAAGGATTAAAATGCTGAGGAACCAATTCCTCCCATATTTGTCAAATAGTTTCTAAGACACACACACACACACACACACACACACACACACACACACACACACACTTAAACACTATCAGATTCGTCAGAACTAGTTGCCTTCATGCTTGGTGTGGTTTCCTCAGGGGCTCGGCTCACTTTCTCCATCCAATCATGATGCACTAAGCAGCGTCCAACCAGGGACAAGGCTAAACCTGGGCACCCTCAGGCCCGGTGCCCTAGAGGAATCCCAGAATGTCAAGGGAGACAGGCACGGAGCATTAAAAGTGAATCAGCGTGGGTAATCAGTCACAGCTTGTGTGGGAGTCAGAGTCCAAAGCCAGTACATGAGAGGGTGATGCGGATGGACGCCGCTCTCTCTTAGAAGACGCCACATGGTGGAGCAACCTCTTCACTCCTTGGGTTCACCCGCTAATGTTTCCCGCCTGCATGCCTCGCGTCCACGTTTCTTGGTGGAATACCAGGTAAATGAGTGATTTGCTTCTAGGACTGGGCTTGCAAAACACACTTTGTTAACCGATGGCTTGTT